CCCCCCCCACCCCCCCCCTGTAAGATGGACACTTAAAGGCTATGCTGCACGTGCGTGCCTTCTGCACAAAGGAAACACCCACAGAATAGACGCAACGCACCCGCAGAATAGACGCAATGCACCCTTAGCATCAGCACACTGTGTCCTGGACGAGAAAGGCGCGGAGGGCGCGGAAGGCACAGAGCGCACGGAGGGCGCGGAGGGCGCGGAAGGCGCGGAGGGCGCGGAGGGCGTGGAGGGCGCGGAGGGCGCGGAGGGCGCGGAGGGCGCGGAAGGCGCGGAGGGCGCGGAGGGCGCGGAGGGCGCGGAGGGCGGGGAGCGCGCGGAGGGCGGGAAGGGTGCGGAGGACGCGCAGGGCGCGGAGGACGCGCAGGGCGCGGACCGCGCGGAGGGCGCGGAGGTCGCGGAGGGTGCGGAGGGCGGGAAGGGCGCGGAGGGCGCGGAGGTCGCGGAGGGTGCGGAGAGCGCGGAGCGCGCGGAGGGCGCGGAGGGCGCGGAGGGCGCGGAGGTCGCGGAGGGCGCGGAGGGCGCGGAGGCGCGGAGGGCGCGGAGGGCTTGCAAACGCGGAGGGCACGGAGGAACATCCACGTGTCCCCACTCCCCTGCCCATCAAGGGAATGTCACGCTCCCCCTTGACCGTGTCGTCCCCGCGGCCTCACGTCAAAACTCCTCCAAGAAGCGGTCCGACAGAACGCCTCAAACGAGAACCCAATTTCAGAATTTGTTTGGGTGGCGGGGGGGGGGAGGGGGGGGGGGGGGTGGGGGGGGGGGGTTGGGGGTGAAAAGAGGGGGGGGGGGGGGTAGGGGGGGGGGGGGTAGGGGGGGGGTGTATGGATCGCAGAAACCGGCGGTGCCTTGTTGTGACTCAGGGTTCAGGGCTAATTGTTTTGGGGGGGCTCAGAATTAACAAGCTTGTTTGAGTTCACAAACTTTTCTTGGTGAATTAGGGTTTATGGGTTTCTAGGGTTGTGGTTTTGTAGGAAAGTAGAGGCCTTGTTTTGTCTGTTCAGTGTCTTGGTAGCTTTGTGTCACCGTAGCCCTTTTGGCTTAGCATAGAGAAGGCCCCGTGAGCCTAAAAGTCCGCTGCATGGTAGCGGAGCGCTGGAACAGGAGCCGCCGAAGTGAGGCGGCTGGATCCAGTGCCTCCTGGACGGTGGTGGCAACCGAACCTCGGAGAAACAGAGGCGTATCGGTGTGGATAATCCACCAGCTCAGGCTCAGAGCCGCATCGGCTCGGGCCAGGGCTAGGTGGGTTCGCCTTTTGAGGCACCTCTGGAAGTGGAGAAGGCTCCAGAGGCTTTGGGCCGCGATAGGCCAGCTCCTGCAGGGCCAGTCAGGGTCCGTGCTCCACCGCCTTTCGAAGTTCTATAAGAACAAGTGATGGCTTCGCCTGGTGGAAGCCCAACTTCGGCACCAGGTGCACAGGGCTCTGCTGAAATGATTTTCGGCCAAATCCTCCAGCAGGTGCAGACAGGGATGGCTCAGATGAGCCAGGAGTCGAACAGGAGGTTCGAGTTGCTGGAGGCCGCTTTGAAGGAGCAGGTTAACACCCAAAGGGCAACGGCTGAGGCCCAGGTAAGGGCATTCGATGCCATGGCAAAGAAGTCCTCCGTGGTGGATATAAAGGGCGTTGGAAAGCCCGACATCCTGAAGGGCTCGCACGAAGATGCGAGAAAGGTTTGGAAAGCTTGGAGTTACAAGTTCGAGAGCTGGTTCAGCTCCCAGTTTCCGACCAAAGGTCAGGAGTGCCTGGACTGGGCACGCAACAAGGGCGACGAGACGATCCAGGAGTCCACCCTCACCGAGTACGTGAACAAGGTGCCGGAGGCCGTGGATGTGGATCGCCAGTTGCATGTGGCCTTGATTTCGCTGACGAGCGAGATGCCCTGCACGGTGGTGTTTAATGCCCGGAAGAGGTGTGGCCTGGATGCGTGGCGTCGGCTTTGCCACGTATATGAGCCGCGCAATGCTCGGAGCAACATGCGGTTGCTTCGCCGCATCCTTGTGCAGCCCCGCTTCACTTTGGAGCAGTTGCGGGCCTCCATCGACAAGTGGGAGGCCGACCTCGCCGAGTACGTTCAGAGAGGCAACAAGGACCTCGAGGATGCTCAGAAGGTGACTATCCTCCTGAGCATGGTGCCCGAGACCTTGGAGGACCACCTCGAGATGAACATTGCTCGGCTGGACACGTATGCGAAGGCCCGCGCCGAAGTGATCTCGTATACCGAGCAGAAGGCTGCAAAGGTGGACGACGGCGGCGCTACGCCGATGGAACTCGATGCCTTCAAGGGCAAGGGCAAGGGCGGTAAGAACACCAAGGGCGGCAAGGGCGGTGGTGCCAAAGGTCAAGGGAACCCGGACAAGGACATCGTGTGCCGCCTGTGCCAGAGAAAGGGCCACCGCAAAAGCAACTGTTGGTACGCCAAGGAGAACGGTGGAACTGGGAAGCCGCCAGCGCCGAAAGACCCCAAAGGCGGCAAGCCGTCCAAGGGAAAAGGAGGAAAGGGAAAGGGCAACAAGCCTGGTAAGCGCAAAGCCCATTCCCTCGAGGGCGAAGGCGCAGACGGCCAAGAATGGCCGGAGGAAGAAGGGGGCGAGGAGCCCACTGGAGACGGCGATCTGGGCTACCTGTGCGTGCTGGGGCCGAGTGCTGATTCAGCGCCGGACCCACCTGCACCGACGCGGGGGCAGATCTGCCGAGCGGCCTTCGGACCTCCGTCCTGGGCGTGGTCGCAGCCCTGGTCGGAGACGCTGGCGCAGTGTGCTGTGGGAAAGGACAAGGATGGTAAAACCACCTACTGGTGTCCTTGCCCCGGCTACAAGGGCCAAAAGAAAAGGTACAACGAGGATGGCCTCAACGCCCACTTGTGGTCGAAGTTGGGCGCTCCGGGCCACCCTGACAAGGACCAGTGGACCGCTTGGGACCGGGAGGCCCGACAGGGGTACTACGTCCGAGCTCCCCTTCGTGAAGTAAGGGGCCCCGAATTTACCTTCCCGAGGAGCCTGACTACTCCAAACACGTGCCCGAGAGCTTGTACTCGGAAGGTGAAGAAAGCGAGAGCGAGAGTGCCGAGGACGAGGTCGTCGAGGAGACGACCCAGGAGACTCCAAGGGCGATGATCATGGGAAGAGCAATGGCGAAGCCGAGGCCGCTGTTGAGATAACCCAAGGGCTCTGCCGCACGTACAAGGATGCGTGTGAAAAGGGCCTGGGAGAGCGTATTCATCCTAAGTCCCCCCTTCTGGGTTGGCTGCTAAAACATGCCGGGAGCATGTATACTCTCTTCTCCCACGACGAGACCATGAAAGATGGACTCACCCCCTTCAGGCGTTTAAAAGGACGTGACTGGGCTGTGGCCCTTCCTGCCTGGGGAGAAACTGTGGACTACCGGGTGCGGACAAAGCACAAACTGGAGCCCCGGTGGCAAGTTGGTATATACTGTGGTGTTCGGCTTGGCACTACGGAAAAGATCATCGCCACGGAAGATGGCGTGGTCGTGGTTCAGTCTATCCGCCGGAAGCCGAAAGAGCTGAGGTGGGATGCTGAGTTGTTTAAAAAGGTGAAGGGGACGCCATGGGCGCCTCAACCCAAGAAGGCGGCACGTCCAGACGAAGCTTTGGAGCTTCCCGCCGCCGTGGCTATAGAGCCCGAATTGCCCGACGAGCCGGCTACTGACGTCGAGGCTGGGCCTAAGCCTGAGCTCTTGAAGAGAGTTTACCTGAGACAGCAAGATCTCGACCGACATGGCTACACTGCTTCTTGTCCTGCCTGTGACTTGATCCGGATGGGCATTTCTAGAGAGGGTGTTAACCACACCGAGTTTTGCAGAAGCCGGGTGGTCGGCGAGATGGCTAAGACTGACGAGGGAAAGAAGCGACTAGCTGCGGCGAAGTTGAAGGAGACCCCGAGGTCTAAACTGAGGATTGGTGATCCACCTCCGGACTCCGATTCTCCTGCTGTACCGGGGGCCAAGAGGACCACCGAAGGGGCTTCTGCTCAGGAGGCGCAGGTCGCCAAGAAGCCTAAGGCCGAAGAGGCCAAACGAGCCCGCTTGGATGCTGGAGACTCGAGTGCTGGTTCAGCACCGAGACCCGATCCTGGGGTTCCTGCGGCCATGGAGGTGACGGCTTCCGAGCCGGCTTCATCTTCGAAGCGGCCGCATCCGGGCGGAGGAGAAGAAGGAGACATGATACTTGACTTTCTTCTATCTCTTCGAACTGGGTTCCTAGCTTCGGTTGCTGGGGATCCCTATCCTGTATGTGAAGAAAGGTTCGACACAGATCTCTACGAAAAGTTCGAGACGTCCTATTGGGACGATGTGTCGGGGAAACCTCTTCGACCAGAGCTTGTGCAGGAGGCTCGCAAAGAGGAGGTTTCAACTTTCAACCATCAATGAGATGGGGGTCTGGGAGGTTATCCCTAAACCTAAGGGAGAGAAGGTCATCACCACCAGATGGGTTGACATCAACAAGAAGGATGAGGCAAACCCAAAGTACCGCAGCCGGCTTGTGGCCAGAGAGCTTAAGAAGCGTTACCCAGGGGGCATCTCTCAGGAGGCGCACCAGCCCACATGGGAAGACTTCTATGCCTCAATGCCGCCCATCAGCGCGCTGCGTGTTTTGTTTGCCCTCGCAACAACAAAGAAGGCACCAGACCTGGAAGGAAAGATGCGCAATCTTCCGAAGGACCAATGCTTGGTCTTTATGGATATTAAGAAAGCGCATTTTTGGGCTGATGCTCGCCGACGCTTGCTCATTGAGCTGCCTGCGGAAACTGGCGTGGACACCTCCAAGTATGTTGGCCTGCTGCGCAAGTCCCTTTATGGAACTCGAGATGCTCCAGCCAATTGGGAGGCGACGATCCTGCGGGTAATGACTCAGTTGGGCTTTGTGCGTGGGCGCTCCAACTCCTGTCTGTACTACCATCCTGAAAAGGAAATTCGAGTGGAAGTTCACGGTGATGATTTCACCGGCCTTGGAGCCAAGGCTGAGCTTGAGTGGTTTGCTGCAGAACTGGGCAAACACTGGACGGTGGAAGTTCGTGGCTACCTCGGTCCGCCTGGTATGGTTGGTACCCAGCAGTCCATCGACATCCTCAACCGTTTGGTGTCGTGGACCTCCAGGGGTATAGAGCTTGAAGCAGACCCTCGACACGTCGACATAATCCTGAGGGAAGTTGGCTGTGAGGGCACCAAGGTTACTACGGCTTTGGTAAAGGAGAGGATTGAGCAGGTCGAGGAGGCCGAGCCGTTATCCTCTGAGGATGCTTCGTGGTACCGCTCTGTGAGCATGCGTTTGGCCTATCTGTCGCAAGACCGGCCAGATCTCCAGGTGCTTGCAAAGGAGCTTGCCAAAGGACTTAAAAGTCCCACCACGGCGCATCTGATGATGCTCAAACGTGGGGCGCGCTATCTTCGTAGCTACCCGCGTTTGGTACACCTGTTTCCCTACCAAGCGTGTGTCCCGAAACTTACGCTTTGGGTGGATGCTGATCACGCAGGGTGCCTGCGGTCCCGCAAATCCACAACAGGCTATTGCATTAGACTTGGAGGCTCTACCATCAAGACCGGATGTAAGAGCCAAGCTGTCATTGCTCTAAGCAGTGGTGAGGCAGAATACTATGGATTGGTATCTGGTTCATGCAATGCTCTGGGAGAGCAATCCACCCTTAAGGACTGGGGAATCCTTCTCCCCATTCAAGCTTGGATGGATGCAAATACCGGATTATCCATCGGTTCTCGCCATGGACTGGGACGTGTGAAACACATTGATACAGTATTCCTTTGGGTGCAGGATGTTGTTGCATCAGGGAGAATTCTGCTGGGCAAGAAGAGAACCGACGAGATGTTGGCAGATCTTCTTACGAAGCCTTTGGAAAGAACCCGGATCCAGATGCTTCTCAGCGGAATGAACTATCACTACACAGACGGTAGACATCACTTGGCACTGAACGCCTGAAGGGCTTGAGCGGCTACGCTCTGGTAGCGATTTTCCAGCTCGGACAGCCGAACGGTTGCTGAGTTCGTCCTGCCGCCCTCGGGAGGCGTGTAGGAAAGTAGAGGCCTTGTTTTGTCTGTTCAGTGTCTTGGTAGCTTTGTGTCACCGTAGCCCTTTTGGCTTAGCATAGAGAAGGCCCCGTGAGCCTAAAAGTCCGCTGCAGGTTTTGGGCTCGGGGTTTGCGCTTCGGCAATCTCTTGGTCCAGGGCCCACAAGGGTCTGCAAGGGGCAACCCTAAACCCGAAAGCCCTAGAGTTTTCCAGAAGCCTCGAGGTTTAGTTGACGGAGACATCTCAAGGGATCACGAGACGCCTATGCTGTCGCAGTGGGCTTTATGTGAAGAGAGGAGTGTGTTAGGGTTCAGGGTTTAGGGTTTCGGGTTTCGGGTTTCGGGTTTAGGGCCCCAAAGACCAAAACTCTCAGCCATACACCCGTAAGCCCCTAAACCCTCGACCCCAAACCCCCAAACCCTAAACGGCAAACCCCAAAACCCCCTAAGCCCCTTGAACGAACTAAAAAGGCTTAGCTGGACCGTTGATGGACACGATTTGGTCCGACCGGCCGCCCGTCTCAGAGAGTAGGAAGAGTTTAGGGTGTAGGGGCTAGGAAACCCTAAACCCTAAACCCTAAACCCTAAACCCTAAACCCTAAACCCTAAACCCTAAACCCTAAACCCTAAACCCTAAACCCTAGGGATTTTGGGTCTATTGATGGCCAAGGACGTGCCCTTATCTAGGTTGTTCCTTAGAAACATGTACTGCGCTACCCGAAGTAGCAACTCCAGTTGGATGGGGCCCTGCAACTTACACACTAGGCCTGAAAGGCCGCGAGTAATTCTACGAGCCTGCAGATTTTCGAGCTGAGGGTTAGGGTTGGGGGCGGGAGTGTTGAACTCCTTCTGGATACATCTGAACCTCCTAAACCCTAAACCCTAAACCCTAAACGCCTTAAGCCCAAAACCCTAAACCCTAAACCCATGCTTGGAGTTCAGGGCTTTTGCGTCTGGGGTTCGGAGATCAGGTGCACGACAGGGCCCACATCTCTGTCCTTTTGGGGTACCAAAGGGTTCTGAATTAATGGTTAAAACGGTTAAACCCCAACCCCAAAGCCCAAAACCTAAACCCTAAACCCTAAACCCTATATAAACCCAGGCTCCTGTCTTGAGGACTGGTTTGGGGCCGTACAGGTGCTGCTTTCGCGTAGTTAAATAGTTAGGGTCGCAAAAGTGGCATGCTCTGCTTTCGCTGGTGCTCCTCATTGCTACTCTTGCATTGATATCATGTACTTCGTTCTTCTTCTTTTCTGCAAACGTGCTTTGCTTGGGCATACTGAGGAGCTAAACCCTAAACCCTAAACCCTGAACCCTAAACCCTAAACCCTAAACCACACTCTTGGCCACAAAGGCATCATCTCATCGCCTGCTGCTGAGCTGCAATTGGGCCCTGCGGTCACAAGAGAGGGGCAAGGCCCCCTTTCAGGGCTTAGGGTTTTAGGGTTTAGGGTTTAGGGTTTAAGGTTTAGGGTTCAGGGTTTAGGGTTTAGCGTTTGGGGTTTAGGGTTTGCACCATGAAAGCCTCAAAACCCTAAGCCCCAGAATCCTACACCCCAAACCCCATTGATATGAGCACCGATGAACCGACAAACCCCTTGAGCTGAACCCTATAAACCCTGAACCCTAAGCCTTACAAAAAGCCTGCAAGCCCTGTCGACACTCGAAGCACCCACTTTTCCATTCCAGAGTCAACAAAGCAGGGGTTCAGGGTTTAAGGTGTTTAGGGTTTAAGGGGTTAAGGGGTTTAGGGTTTAGGGTTTAGGGTTTATAGGGTTCAGGATTTAAGGGTTTAAGGGGTTTAGGGTTTTAGGGTGGGTTTGGAGGTTACGGGTTCGGACTGCAAGCAGTTAAGCTCACAGCATGCCTTTGCAAGCAAGGGCACACAGCGACGCACACGATGTACGCGCACACAAAGCCAGAACTGTTGACCCGAACCGAAGCCTTTGGTTCCGAAGAACCCTGAACCCTGAACCCTATATCCTGAACCCCTGCACCTTCGTATCCAAACCCAAACCCTGAACCCCACAAACCCTCAAACCCTCAAGCGCCCTAACATAGAGGCCTGAATAATTTAGTAACCGGGAGTCGGTGGGTTCTTTCAGTAGTAGTATAAATATGTAGGGAATACGATTAGTATTTATAGGCTGAACTTGCAAAGCACCCTAGACCCCAAGCCCTGAACCCAGAACTAGGACTCAGAGTACGCCCCTATTCCCATCTTGCAGGGCCAGCCTCTTTTAAGCTTTAGCTCAACCCTAAACCCTAAACCCTAAACCCTAAACCCTAAACCCTAAACCCTAAACCCTAAACCCTGAACCCAATGAGACCACTCAGCCCTGTTCCAAACAAGCTCCTATTGCCCGACTTCGCCCGTGGCCATTGGGCCTCATGGGTCTGGGTTAAGCCTATAGGGTTTAGGGTTTAGGGTTTAGGGTGGGCAAAACTTCGCAAACATCTCCCGGGTTTAGGGTTTAGGGTTCAAAGCCTCACAAACATCTCCCTACCCCTTGGGGTGGTCAAGGCCCTTAGCAGGGCGTGGTTTTGCCTAAGCAAATTTAGGGTTTTAGGGCTATTGCTGTTTGAAAGGAACCTAGTGGGCTTAAAACAAGCTCACAGCGTTATGCGCTGAAGTGCCATTGCAGATCCCAAACCCTAAGCCCTAAGCCCTGAACCCTAAGGCCCGAAACCGTGTTGTGGTGCGGCCCTTCTTGTTCTAGCACCCAAGATGCCATTCCCCAGACCTGAAATCCCCAAACCCAGAGCTCCAAATGCCCAACCCTATCAAACCTGTAAACCCTACACACCCGAACCGTATATACCCTAAACCCTAAGACCTAAACCCTAAACCCTAGACCCTAAACCCTAGACCCTAAACCCTAAACCCTAAACCCTAAACCCTAAACCCTAAACCCTAAACCCTAAACCCTAAACCCTAAACCCTAAACCCTAAACCCTAAACCCTAAACCCCCTAAACCCTAAACCCTAAACCCTAAACCCTAAACCCTAAACCCTAAACCCTAAACCCTAAACCCTAAACCCTAAACCCTAAACCCTAAACCCTAAACCCTACCCAGGCTGTGCCTTGGATGGCAGCGCGCTACCTCTCTTAGCCTTTGTCGGCGAGGCAAAGGCCGAGAAGACCAGGGAGACGCAGGAGAGGGTTTAGGGTTTAGGGCTTTAGGGGTTTTATGGGCTTTAGGGTTTTAGGGTTTTAGGGTTTTTGGGTTTTGGGGTTTTTGGGTTTTAGGGTTTTGGGGTTTAGGGTTTAGGGTTTCAGGTTTTAGGGTTTAGGGGATTTAGGGGTGTTAGGGTTTTAGGGCTTTAGTGTTTTAGGGTTTTAGGGTTTTAGGGTTTTAGGGTTTTAGGGTTTTAGGGTTTTAGGGTTTTAGGGTTTTAGGGTTTTAGGGTTTTAGGGTTTTAGGGTTTTAGGGTTTTAGGGCTGGTGTTATGAAGCGGTGAAGCCCTGGACTCTGTGCACCCTAAGCCCTTCCGAGCCCTCTTTGCACAAGAGTCCTCAAGGCTACACCCCAGCACCAGTAGCACAAAAGAAGCCATTAGCAATCTTTCAGTTACATGGTCCCTTAATTTAAATGCTACGCGACCTGCCTCGGCCCGGCCCAGCGCATCCGCGTGAGCATGGTGATTCCGCAGCGCCCAAGTCGCTGGACCCCAAGCAATAAGGGTTGGGTTTAGGGTTTAGGGTTCCGGGTTTATGGTTTATGGTTTGGGGATAGGGTTGAGGGTTAGTTTAGGATTGAGGGCTTAGGGCTCAAGGTTCACGCTTTGGGGTTTAGGGTTTTTTTAGTTTAGGGTTCAAGAGACGGTTCGGCTTGGATTGATCGCTCGTGTAATGCATCCCCGGCCGTGCTCACACCAGTTGAGCCTAGAAAACCCGCTCACCAATGTTCTGCACGGGCGGGGAAAAGGGTGTGGGGGGAGAGGCAGGGGAGGGGGCAGGGGAGGGGGCAGGGGGGGGGGTTGGGGTGGGGGGGGGGGTGGGGGGGGGTGGGGGGTGGGGGGGGGGGGGGGGGGGGGGTGTGGGGGGGGGGGGGGGGGGGTGGGGGGGGGGGGGTGGGGGGGCGGGGGGGGGGGCGGGGTAGGCCCAAAGGGTACCTCCGGCCCGAGGCGCCCTGAAATATACTCTGTAACACACAAGGGCCCATACTTACTTAAACCCTAAACCCCAAGCCCTAAACCCTAAACCTAACCCTAAACCCCAAACCCTAAACCCTAAACCCTAAACCCTAAACCCTAAACCCTAAACCCTCAACCCCAAACCCTAAACCCTAAACCCTAAACCCTAGCCCTGGAGGAGGATGCGATCCCTCACCGCCCGCCACCTCTGACAGCCTCCGCTCCGGAAGTGCGCCAGCAGGTGGAGCTCTGACCAAATTAAGGGGTTTAGGGTTTAGGGTTTAGGGCTTAGGGTGTAGGGCTTAGGGCTTGGGGCTTGGGGTTTAGGGTTAGGGTTTGATCAGGGTTTAGTAGTGCAGTCTTTTGGGTTGAAACGCATGCTATGTACACGGGTCACCCTGGACTAGACCCTAGCCTTAACCCTAAGCACACTTTCAATCCTGGACCGTATAACCACTTAAACTCTATGAACCCTGCAAACCCTGTGAACTCCATAGCCCTATAAGCCCTAAACCCCGCATAAACCCAAAAACCTAAACCCGAAGGCCTTTAAAGCCCTACATAAATCCTAACCCCTAAGCCCTAAGCCCTAAGCCCTAAACCCTAAACCCTAAACCCTAAACCCTAAACCCTAAACCCTAAACCCTATCAAGCCCTACGTACGCCCCACAAAGACCTAAGCCCTGGGAGGCTGAGCTGTCGGCGCTTGCCATCTCTGGCATTTCAACCGCCATCGACTCCGACTACAAGAGGTGCCTGGCCCGAAAGCCCATGTTTTGCATCCTTGGGGGGTTTAGGGTTTAGGGTTTAGGGTTTAGGGTTTAGGGTTTAGGGTTTAGGGTTAGGGTTTAAGGTTTAGAGGGTTTAGGGTTTAGGGTTTCCAAACTTCATGCGAGGTTCATGCGGTGGGGTGTCGTGGGGGATGCGCTAAACCCTAAGCCCCAAATCCTGTTCAGGAGTCAGGGTTTCCTAGACCAGAGGCGCGGTACCCTTTCTTCTTTTGTTTTTGTTGTTCTTTGTTGCTGGGGTACTATAGGGGTCGGAATATGTATCATTACCACGTATTCGCATTCCCTGCCGGTTCCTACATAGTTATACTGGAAGGGTTTAGGGTTTAGGGTTTAGGGTTTAGGGTTTAGGGTTTAGGGTTTAGGGTTTAGGGTTTAGGGTTTAGGGTTTAGGGTTTAGGGTTTAGGGTTTCCAAACTTCATGCGAGGTTCATGCGGTGGGGTGTCGTGGGGGATGCGCTAAACCCTAAGCCCCAAATCCTGTTCAGGAGTCAGGATTTCCTAGACCAGAGGCGCGGTACCCTTTCATCTTTTGTTTTTGTTGTTCTTTGTTGCTGGGGTACTATAGGGGTCGGAATATGTATCATTACCATGTATTCGCATTCCCTGCTGGTTCCTACATAGTTATACTGGAAGGGTTTAGGGTTTAGGGTTTAGGGTTAAGGGTTTAGGGTTCAGGGTTTACGGGGTTGAGGGGCTGATAATATCCTTTGTGCGAGGTGGGCGGACAATTGGATCAACTCCAACGACGCTTGGATCATCCTGCGCACCCTAAAACCCTAAAACTCCAAACCCTAAACCCTAAACCCTAAACCCTAAACCCCAAACCCTAAACCCCAAACCCTAAACCCTAAACCCCAACCCTAAGCCCTAAACCCTAAACCCCAAACTAGAGGCTTTTGTGGTCGGTGGTTCAGGCAGTCTTTATGTCTGGTGCTACGCCCAGTAGTGCCCCTTTTCCGTTTTATTTTGCTTGGCGACGCAGGGGGGGTGGGGGGGGGATCGAAACGTTCGTCCCATGATAAGCCCCACTAAACAAAGAAATGCTTGGGAGTAGTACCCGTACCCTTTGCTCTTAAGAACCTGACTTGAGATTACAAGAACCCGGCTCCATGATTTGGACGCGCTCAGAGGTCTTCCCGAGATGTCCGAAAACCACACGCACAAGGGGGACTCTGGAAACACCCTAAGCCGTAAGCCCTAATTAACCCCTAAATCCTTATGTTTATGTGGGTTTTTTGGCACCTACGGTAAAGACCTTCCCGAGGAGTGTGATCCAGTGGTGTGCTGGTTTGGGGTTGGGTTCCGATTGGGATTGGAGACCCATGGTTTGAATCCTGAACCCTTCAACGCCTCAACCCTTACACCCTGAAAGCCCTAAACCCTAAGCCCCTAAACCATACCCTATAAACCCTATCCCCCTAAACCCCCTAACCCCGAAACCCTACCCTATCAATGCATCAATGCGTCAATGCCTGATCAATGACAAGCCCTGCTCAGACCCTGAACCCTAAAGACTAAACCCTAAACTCTAAACCCTAAACCCTAAACCCCCAAGGCATCGTAGAATCCTCAGCCGAGGAGAACCCGCGCTCTGCCATTGCGCTGGAAGAAAAGAGGCGGATCAAGGTGCCAGAAGTGTTGTTGGGGGTTTACAGGGTTTAGGGTTTGGGGTTTAGGGTTTCGGGTTTCGGGTTTCGGGTTTAGGGGGCTGTTTGGCGTTTATAGGGCATATAGGGTTTAGGGTGTGAGGATGTCGGGCATAGGCCTGTGGGGCTCAGGGTCAGGGCTGAGGATTTGGGGTTTAGGGTTTAGGGTTTAGGGTTTAGGGTTTAGGGTTTAGGGTTTAGGGTTTAGGGTTTTGTTGGGGACAAACTGAACTCCAAAATAGGAATCATAGACCCCTATGCTACTGCCCCACATCAAGAGTCCTGGAACCTAAGCCCAGTTCAGCCTCCAGCTTTCATCCTAAACCCTAAACCCTAAGCCCTAAGCCTTAAACCCTAAACCCTAAACCCTAAACCCTAAACCCTAAACCCTAAACCCTAAACCCTAAAAGGAGAACATACTCCTCAACATCCTGGACAAGAAGGGCGTCGAAGAAGCTCAGAGACTCGGCATCGCCAAGCACATCCTCGGATCTGCACGGCTTTTGGCGTTGAGTGTCTTATATGCATATACATTGGGGTTTAGGGTTTAGGGTTTAGGGTTTGGGGTTAGGGTTCAGGGTTTAGGGTTTAAAGAGAGAGAGAGAGAGAGAGAGAGAGAGAGAGAGAGAGAGAGAGAGAGAGAGAAAGAGAGAGAGAGAGTTGAGTGTTATATATATATATATAGAGAGAGAGAGAGCATGTTCCCTCAACTGGGTTTAAGAGGATCATAATGTTTAGGAGTATTTCTTCGGAGGGTTTTCAGGGCCGTCCTAGGTCGGGCTTCGGCAGGGCGATAAGCAAGGAGGGGGGGGGGGGGGGTCGCGGTGGGCTTAAGGGTTTTAGGGTTTAGGGTTTAGGGTTTAGGGTTTACGATTTAGGCTGTACTTGGCGCAAAGAAGACTGGAACCCTGTCGGATTACATGGATTTGATGGTTTAAGGTTTGGGGTCGTTCTGGTTCGCTCTACCCTGATGTCCTTGTCTTGCATCCTTGGGGGGGCTTGCCCTGAACCCTAAACCCTGAACCTTAAACCCTAAACCCTAAACCCCACAGATTGTGCAGAACTCCCCTCCCCAACCTCCCTGAGGAGCCCTAAACCCTAAACCCTGAAGCCTAAACCCTAAACCCAAAACCCCACAGATTGTGTAGAACTCCCCTCCCCAACCTCCCTGAGGAGCCACCTCGCCACCGCGCGCACGCTGCCCGGGCCCATGTGAGCCCCCCCATGCTCCTCCGTGCCAAAGTCAAAGCCATGTAGGGTTCAGGGTTTAGGGTTAAGGGTTTAAGGGTTTAAGGGTTTAAGGGTTTAAGGGTTTAAGGGTTTAAGGGTTTAAGGGTTTAAGGGTTTAAGGGTTTAAGGTTTAAGGGTTTAAGGGTTTAAGGGTTTAAGGGTTTAAGGGTTTAAGGGTTTAAGGGTTTAAGGTTTAAGGGTTTAAGGGTTTAAGGGTTTAAGGGTTTAAGGGTTTAAGGGTTTAAGGGTTTAAGGGTTTAAGGGTTTAAGGGTTTAAGGGTTTAAGGGTTTAAGGGTTTACGGGTTTAGGGGTTTAGGGGTTTAGGGGTTTAGGGGGTTTAGGGGTTTAGGGGTTCAGGGGGTTTAAGGGTTTAAGGGTTTCAGGGTTTGAGGGTTTAAGGGTTTAAGGGTTTAAGGGTTTCAGGGTTTAAGGGTTTAAGGGTTTAAGGGTGTAGGGTGTAGGGTGTTTAAGGGTTTAAGGGTGTAGGGTGTAGGGCTTCGGTTTTTTAAGTTCCCAGCCAAAACCCAAGCTTGAGCCAAGCTTGAAAGGGGACTTCCAGAAGCAAGAACTAAAAAATGCTATGCCCTAGCCCCTAAACCCTAAACCCTAAACCCTAAACCCTAAACCCTAAACCCTAAACCCTAAACCCTAAACCCCAAACCTTCTCCACCACGTGTCCAAGCCCGAGATAGAGACGGGGCCCTTCTTTGGCTGGACAGACGACGATGTAGATTCTCAGCCTGGCCACTTCTCAGAACAAACCTAAGGTGGGATCTGAATGGGACCCTAAACCCTAAACCCTAAACCCTAAACCCTAAACCCTAAACCCTAAACCCTAAACCCTAAACCCTAAACCCTAAACCCTAAACCATTCGCCCAGAAGCGCAGGGAGGGGCCGACAGCGCGTGTTTGAAGGGCCCTGCGATGCGCGGCCTTTGCCAGCAGGAAGCCAATGGCTCCGACACAAGGTTCACCGGGTTTAGGGTTTAGGGTTGAGGGTTTAGGGTTTAGGGTTTAGGGTTTGGGGTTTGGGGTTTAGGGTTTAGGGTTTAGGTTTAGGTCTTTTTTTGTTGGGGGGGGGGGGGGGGGAGAGGGGGTTTTAGGGTTGCTTAGAGTTGTTTATGGTTTATAGGGTAAGTTGTTGGGTTGCTCGGGCTTGTCCGTAGGGGTCGTAGGGCTCATGGCTTATACAGGGCTGGGTTGGGTGAGGCTGATATGGGATACGGAGGAATTTGGGGTTTACGGCTTTTAGGGTTTAGGGTTTAGCGTTTAGGGCTTAGGGTTTAGGGTGGCTGACTTGCGGTTTTTGTCTGCAACGACTTGGCTGGTTCTTGAGGCTTTACGGGACTCAGGGCTTCAGGAGAGAGTTTAAGGTTTAGGGTTTAGGGTTTGGGGGTTTAGGGTTTAGGCTTTAGAGTTTAGGTTTAGTTTGGGATATGCAGCCTGAAACCCTGTGGCTTCGGGTTTAGGATTTAGGGTTTTGGTTTTTAGGGTTTAGGGTTTAGGGTTTAGGGTTTAGGGTTTAGGGTTTAGGGTTTAGGGTTTAGGGTTTAGGGTTTAGGGTTTAGGGTTTAGGGTTTAGGGCTACGGAGTGTCAGGTTTAGGGTTCAGGCCCTACTTTGATGGGAGCATGGTTCTTCTGGATGCTTTGTCTTGCAAGAACAGTATGGATCGAGGCGTTAAACGCCTTCCATGGCAGCCCCCAAAGCGTATGACTTGGGACAACTCCTAGGTCCGAAAATCCAAGCCTTAGCCCCCCAAAGCCGTAGTCTCTTGTCAACCCTGAACCCTAAACCCTAAACCCTAAGCCCTAAACCCTAAACCCTAAACCCTAAACCCGAAACCCTAGACCCTAGACCCTAAACCCTAAACCCTAAACCTCCTTTCTCAAGCTACTTGCGGTGCGGTGGGGGGAGGGGGGGGGGGGTGTCCATGGGTGGAGGAGACAGTTGCCACACAGGTCCTTGGGCCACAGTGCCCCAGGCCCCTGGGAGGATCCAAAAAAGGTAGATCCCCTTAAAGGTTCCTAAAAATGACCCCAAACCCCAAACCCCAAACCCCAAACCCCAAACCCCAAACCCCAAACCCCAAACCCCAAACCCCAAACCCCAAACCCCAAACCCCAAACCCCAAAACCCAAACCCCAAACCCCAAACACCAAACCCCAAACCCCAAACCCCAAACCCCAAACCCCAAACCCCAAACCCCAAACCCCAAACCCTAAACCCTAAACCCTAAACCCTAAACCCTAAACCCTAAGCCCTAAACCCTAAACCCTAAACCCAATAGTTGTGCAGCGTACTATCTATCTGGGATGGAGCTGCCGATTCCATCAGTATGTTTGTGTTTTTTGCTTCTGCACGTGGGAAGTGTACAGGTGGCAATGCGGCGTCCCCACAGCAGAATCTTGCAGGTCAATTCGATTGTAATTCGCGTCAGGTTCTGGCCGGAGATATCAGGGTGAGAGCCCCCAAACCCCAGGCCTTCAAGAAAGAAATAACTAGAACTTGTAGGTGGTTCGCATAGAGCCTGCAGTTTCGACAGCCTTGACCCCGAAAAATGCCCCAAGAAGGCCCCCAACCCAGGAGACAGACCCGACACTTGCATTCAACCCCAAATCCTAAACCGGGTTTAGGGATTGGGGTTTACCGAAAATCCGAACCCTCCTAAACCCTAAACCCTAAACCCTAACCCCTAAACCCAATCGACCAAACAAGCCTGGAGCCTGCAACATCATAACCGCGGCATGCGCGCCATTTGTCGATGCACAGAAATGAACAGGAATCATGCGCCCGCCTGGGGTTTAGGGTTTAGGGTTTAGGGTTTAGGGATTAGGGTTTAGGGTTTAGGGTTTAGGGGGTTCCCCAAACAGTCTAATGTAAGCCCTACGTCTTCAACCCCGAAACTCCAAACCCTCAACCCTAAACCCTAAATCCTAGACTATAAACCCTCCTCCTTTGGGGGGGGGGGGGGGGGGGGGCGTTGACCCTATGATTCGGGGCTCCAGGGCTGGTGTGGAAAGTTTTGAGTTAAGTGTTTTCAAAAGGTACAGCTCGGGGATCCTAGTACCCCTCAGGTTGAGGGTTTAGGGTTATGGTTTAGGGTTTAGGGCTTAGGGCTTAAGGCTTGAGGACTAGGGTTTAGGGCTTAGGGCTTAAGGCTTGAGGTGTAGGGTTTAGGGTTTAGGGCTTCGGGTTTAGGGTTTGGGGCTTGGGGCTTGGGGTGCAAACAGTTATGAACTCTAAGACTCTACGAGGTGTTTGTGGTCCATATAGTTGTTTGGTTTCTGGCCGTAGCAGCCATGAGGTGAATGATGTCAAGAGCTGTCCGAAACCCTAAACCCCAAACCCCAAACCCCAAACCCTAAACCCTAAACCCTAAACCCTAAACCCTAAACCCTAAACCCTAAACCCTAAACCCTAAACCCTAACCTAACCCTAAACCCTAAACCCTAAACCCTAAACCCTAAACCCTAAACCCTAAACCCTAAACCCTAAACCCTAAACCCTAAACCCTAAACCCTAAACCCTAAACCCTAAACCCTAAACCCTAAACCCTAAACCCTAACCCTAAACCCTAAACCCTAACCCCTATACTAAACCACCTTGGGAATGTTAGGGGGAAACCCGTGTCCGCAATCTTCGAAGCTTTGTATCCAGGATTCAGGGTCTCTGAGACCACGATCTGAGGAGTCAACTGCAGGTTCAGGTTTTGGGGTTTAGGGTTTAGGGTTTCGGGTTTCGGGGCTTAGGGTTTGGGATTTCGGGGTTTAGGGTTTAGGGTTGCGGGTTTTTTTGGGGTTTAGGGAACCGGGGTTTGGAGTTTCGGGGTTTAGGGGTCTAGGGTTTAGGGTTTAGGGTTTAGGATTTAGGGTGTAGGGTTTAGGGTTTAGGGGCTTGGGGTCACCAAGCATGCCCAACCCGACCTCGAAGTACCTCGGCTTCCTTTTGCAAGCATGCAGGCTTACAGAGCGCGAAGAAGCCACCTTCCTCCCAGAAGATTAGCTGTTACACCCTAAACCCTAAACCCTAAACCCTGAACCCTAAACCCTAAACCCTAAACCCTAAACCCTAAACCCTAAACTCACCTGGGGAGCTGCCCTAAGCCAATGCAATACAGCTGCAGGGCCCGGAAGCAGACAGTGGAGCTCTTCAAACCTGAATCCGAGTCAACTCTCACCCCTCAAACTCTTCCACCTATAAAGCTTAGGCATACATACCAGGATGGGCTATGAGGCCTTATAATCCCCATCATCAACCCTATGCAGGGCCTTTTTAAGGGGTCATAGGGTCTAATAGCCCGTCCTGGTATGGCTTCTAGTTATAGGGTGTAGATTGTATACGTTTTCGGGTGTCAAGGGTGTAGGTTACACAGGTCTTAGGAAGCAATGCAAAAGAGACCTCAGCTCTATCCATCCACCTAAATCCTGCGGGCCGTTCCTAGCACAGCCACGCGCCACACTGCCATCGGAACGGCGCAGCAGGGCACCCAAGATGAGGGTAAGTCGGGTGGAGGTGCATAGGATAAATGTTGCACCCTAAACCTGCAATAAACAAACCCCTACAAACCCATAAAGGCCTTAAAGACCTTTCAAAACCTTGAAAACCCTAGTCCCAAAGCCCCACAACCCTAAACCCCAAAACCCTCAAACCCAAAGCGGGAGAAAAGAAGGGGTGGTGAAGATTGGAAACCCTAAACCCGAAGCCCTAAATCCTAAATCCTAAATCCTAAACCCTAAACTTGGCCCTAAACCCTAAACCCTAAACCCATTTCGATCATTTCGACTTATTCTTTTCTCCGGGGAGACAGTGGAGAAGCCAAGGATCCTCCTCCTCCGGTGAATTCCCAAAAGGCTCTTGCAGGACCTGGAGTAGGCACTTATTTCCTTTTTGTTTTGGGGGGTTGGGGTTTCCTTATATTCCCCTGAAAACCAAAAACCGTACCATTTTTATTCCTAGGTTACTCCTTGGTCTAGTGCATGGTGG